GGCAATAACGACTTTAAAAAATAAATCATGTATAACGGCAATTGCAGAATGCAAATCGTAGGCATGTTCATATGGAGGCGAGCTACTTTTCTGACCGATTTACTCGGCAACGATGAGATCTAGGACTTCGAATATTATGTAAACTTGTTTTATAGTTTTCCGGTGACTATTTGCACGGCATAACCGAGTAACTCATCTTGCCAAGAACCCGTCAGAGAGAGAACAGATAGGAAGCACAGTAATACCGATATATTATAAATAAAGTGACTATATGAGCGGCAGCCGGTCGCGGTTATGAAAAAAAAGAACTAAATGACCGGCAGTCACTATAACATTGCAGTTACATATAATTAGTTTTTTTAGAAGGACGTTAGCTAGCTCGACAGCAGCTCAAAAGGTTGGACGTGCGATTGCTACGTTTTAGTTCCTGGGTTCGATCCTGTTTCGGTACGTAATAAATGGATAACATGCAGATACAAATATTTCCACCAATTACCAAAGGGAACTAATAACAATTAACGACGGTAAACGAAACTAAAATATAATAGTACATTTTATTTACCTCCTTTGGTAGAGAATAACAGTGGTATTACAGATTAAAAAATATTAAAAATATTTAATTACAACAAATTTAGAGTATATAAACTTATATGAGCTATAATTCTGTCTATAATGCCCACATATTCAAGTAAGACTATTTTGTTTACTATGTTCGTTAAAATGCTGTGGCTCAACCAAGCTGCTCTCGGTATAAATGATTGTTTATGTCTGTCCGTATGTGAAACTGGCACTAAAAGCGGGTTGCACACCTGTCTTTAAGTTATATTCATGTCCGTTATAAATCAGAAATAAATCTTTTACATGGGTGATTTTCTGAATTCTGTATGTTATTATATTCTTTGCGCGTCAAAAAGTTCCTTGTTGATTCGAGCGACTCAATTGTATTCCTGGGTAGATCATGCAATAATGTCTAGACATCGATTTTGTACTCTTTCAATCTCTTCCTTCAGGTAGTATGGTAAACCAGCCCAAATTGGTGCCGCATATTCCAGAATGGGCCTTATCTTTGTGCAATAGGTTGTAAGTCCTATATTTCTCGGGAGATTTTTCTGTTTATGACTATTTATAAAAAGAATTATTGCCTACATATTCAAGTCAGACTATTTTGTCTACTATGTTCGTTAAAATGCTGTAGCTCAACCAAGCTGCTCTCGGGATAAATGATTGTTTATGTCTGTCCGTATGTGAAACTGGCACTAAAAGCGGGTTGCAACCTGTCCTTAAGTTATATTCATGTCCGTTATAAATCAGAAATAAATCTTTTACATGGTTGATTTTCTGAATTCTGTATGTTATTATGTTCTTTGCGCGTCAAAAAGTGCGACTCAATTGTATTCCTGAGTAGATCAATAATGTCTATATATAGACATCGATTTTGTACTCTTTCAATATCTTCCTTCAGGTAGTGTGGTAAACCAGCCCAAATTGGTGCCGCATATTCCAGAATGGGCCTTATCTTTGTGCAGTAGGTTGTAAGTCCTATATTTCTCGGGATATTTTGCTTTTCTGCACGCCCTCACGAAAGAAATTCTTTTACTTGCCTTCGTATAACGATATATTGTACATGTGATTTCCATTTAACTTAAGCTTATTCTGCATGGTGACTCCAACTGAACAGCTTGAATTTTGTAACTCTTTCGATTGTTTCATCTCCTATACTAATGTTTTCTCTTGTCAGTGTTCAATTCAACTCCAATTTGTTTTGAATGGCCCAGTCCTTCAGGGAATTTACTGCTTCCCGCACTTCGCTGTTTTGTCCAATAGAGAGAAGTCCGTATTGGCTGCAATCGTCAGCATACTTGCATGTGACTGTTGAAAGTTCATTTGGAATACAATTTTCCATGTCATTGAAACAAATGTTAAATAATATAGGGGAGTTAACAGCACATTGAGGGACACCAGCTGGTATTGCTTCCACTTCCATTGTGTCCGATTCGTCAAAAAGCTCTTACACCATAGCCAGAATGACTTATTAACCCATATATTTCCCATCTTCGTCAAGAGAGTTATGATCGACAAGATCGAACGCTTTCCGAAAGTCTATAAACAGTGCATGTACACCACTGTATGGACTGCCTTGATCTGTGGCATCGTACTAATCTTGAATCATGTTGGTTAATGCGATGACTGTGGATCTACCCTTCATAAACGCATCTGGTTTGTTTAATATCAAGATCTGCTTGATTTAGCAATAGTTGTATCTTCTCCAGGATTTTTCCCACTTGTGGTATGACTGAAATCTGGTAATTGGATTTAAACGCTTTAATATTGTCTTTACTTGCCCAATCCTGGGTAATAGCGGCTCGTGATCTATAGTTTCTGCATCAACAAACCTAGCTGCTAATGCGTTTGATAAGTGCATCAAGTAGTTTATTCGCCATTGACTCTGAATCCGTTTGCGTTGCATTTGCTGGTGTAGAGATACTAAGTACATAAATATAGTAAAGACTTAACTATATCCTACATTACATAGTTGAAAAGAAACCTGTTCATAAAAGTATTTTTAAATCTTTCAGTTCGCACCATGGGGAGCAAATAGTTGTGTCCTCTATTGCGTAACATTCTAGTTCTAGTAGGCGGCAAAAGATCATGCAAAGGTGAACCTTGATCAACAACGGTATTCCAAAGTCGTTGGTCACGAGAGGAGATGAGATCATTAATACAATATAGCTTTTTACAAAATCCCCATTTGAAAGCTCTGGCAAAAAACCTATCAATTTGTCCTAAATACTTATCATAATGGGCATAACCCCACACTTCAATAGCATAAATAAAGACTGATGCTATCAGGCTTTGGAATAATAAGTCTAGTTGGTCTACTGAATATCGATAATATTTACATGTTCGAAGGATAAAAAGACGAGAACTTGCATTTAACATAACATTGTCAATGTGTGTGTCCCAATTAGTAGGAGAACTCCCACGGTTTTTTTATGTTAAGTTTAATCCTGTTGTTATCTGCCCAATTTTTGAGACTGTCAACATCACGCAGTATACTAAGAAGCTGTCTGTCATATCATTAATAGGAGAACTTAAGGTGATATATATCGTCTGCAAACTTGATCAAAAGTTGATACTATTTGGATATTCTCAGAATGATCAACAATGAAGTCCCAGCTAGTAAAAGTCCCAGCTATGGTGTCACGCTCTAGTATTCAAGTCCCCCACTTCATGTGAACATGTCTACGATTCGCCTTTCGCAAGTGACGCTATATATTATTATTATTATTATTATTATTATTATTATTATTACAAGACATCGAGCAGTGGCGTATACACGTTCTCTGTACATGTCCTTAGTTTCAACGAAAAACTTTACTTGAATTGATCGTACTAACGTCACATTTTGGTTTTTTATACTTCTAATTAATCGATGATTCGTGTAAACTTGCTTGCGTTGTTTTCAACGCTAATAATATGTGGATTTTGTGGCAAGGATTTTGTATCGTTGGGCCGTCACTCGTGGCGCTGTAAAAGCAAAGTGGAATATGGGCAAGAAACCAGAGTAAATGCTATTCCTGCTATAGAAATCCCTTCACAAGAATGTTTGCCGGTTAAATCTTACAAGGCTGTTAAATGTTGCTGTGGTAAAGTCTGCAAAGGGGCGCGCGGTCTTAAAATGCACCAACGAAGTTGCAGAGTTATTGATGACCTTGAAGACGAGCTACAACAACAAATGTCGGAAGTATTAACTGAACATCAGAATGAGGA